CAGGCAATTCTCCTGCCTCAGCCTCCTGAGTAGCTGGGATTACAGGCACGTGCCACCATGCCCAGCTAATTTTTTGTAGTTTTAGTAGAGACGGGGTTTCACCACGTTGACCAGGCTGGTCTCGATCTCTTGACCTTGTGATCCACCTGCCTCGGCCTTCCGAAGTGTTGGGATTACAGGCTTGAGCCACCGCGCCCGGCCCTTTTGAGGGTTTTTGTTTTTGTTTTTTGTTTTTTGTTTTTCAGACAAAGTCTCGCTCTGTCACCCAGGCTGGAGGGTAGTGGTGTGATCTCGGCTCACTGCAACCTCTGCTACCCAGGTTCAAGCGATTCTCCTGCCTCAGCCTCCCGAGCAGCTGGGACTACAGGCGCCTGCCACCATGCTTGGCTAAATTTTTTTTGTATTTTTTAGTAGAAACAGGGTTTCCCTTTGTTAGCCAGGGTGGTCTCCATCTCCTGACTGACCTTGTGATCCGCCTGCCTCAGCCTCCCAAAGTGTTGGCATTACAGAAGTGAGCCACCACGATCAGCATTTTTTTTTGAGACAGCATTTCGCTCCGTCACCCAGGCTGGAGTGCAGTGGCACGACTGTAGCTTACCGGAGCCTTGAATATCCAGGCGTGAGTGATTTTCCGTTTCAGCTTCTTGAGTAGGTGAGACCTGAGAGCCAGCGCTGTGCACCACCGTACCCAGCTAATTTTTTGATTTTTAGTAGAGATGGGGTCTTGCTATGTTGCCCAGGCTGGTCATGTACTCCTGGGCTTAAGTGATCCTCCCACCTCAGCCTCCCATAGTGCTGGGATTACAGGTGTGAGCTGCCACACCTAGCCATTAATTGTACCCTTGAAAATGACCAGTCTTGGCTGGGTGCAGTGACTCACACCTGTAATCCCATGTGGATCATGTGACTTCAGGAGTTGGAGATCAGCCTGAACTGTGTGGTGAAACCCCATCTCTACTAAAAATACAAAAAAATTAGCCGGGCGTGGTGGCGCGTGCCTGTAATCCCAGCTACTCGGGAGGTGGAGGCATAAGAATTGCTTGAACCCAGGAGGTAAAGGTTGCAGTGAGCCGAGATCATGCCACTGCACTCTAGCCTGGGTGACTGGGAGACCCCGTCTCAAAAAAAAAAAAAAAAAAAAAAAAAAAAGACTTGTCTTATCGTCGGTGAATAATGTCTTCGCTTTTGAAAACCTAGGCCGTTTAAACTCTGTGCAAAGCAGGGGTTAGCAGGACATGAGTGAGCTTAGCCCTGATGCGGTGACCTGGGCCGTAGCCCTGGGAGTGGCCTCTTCACGCCCCACCTTGCGGAGTCACAGCCTCCCGGGACGGACTCCCTGGCGCCCCCAGTCGCCCGCAGCCGCCGGATGATCCCCTACTCCCGTCTCTCTCCCACAGTCAGCCTGGCTGAGGATGGAGCCCGCCCCGGGCCTCCTGGAGCAGCCCCAGCGCACGGAGGCCGGGAGCCCGGAGCCTGAGCCCACACCGTGGCAGGCCCTCCCAGTTCTGTCTGAGCAGCAGGCGGGGGACGTGGAGCTGGTGCTGGCCTACGCCGCGCCCATCCTGGACAAGCGCCAGACCTCTCGCCTCCTGAAGGAGGTGTCGGCCCTGCACCCACTCCCGGCCCAGCCTCACCTCAAGCGGGTGCGGCCCAGCCGCGACGCCAGCAGCCCCCACGCCCTGGAGATGCTGCTCTGTCTGGCCGGGCCGGCCTCCGGCCCACGCTCGCTGGCCGAGCTCCTCCCACGGCCGGCCGTGGACCCCCGTGGCCTGGGGCAGCCCTTCCTGGTGCCCGTGCCCGCCCGGCCGCCTCTGACCAGGAGCCAGTTCGAGGAGGCCCGCGCCCACTGGCCCACGTCCTTCCACGAGGACAAGCAGGTGACCAGCGCCCTGGCCGGGCGGCTCTTCTCCACGCAGGAGCGCGCCGCCATGCAGAGCCACATGGAGCGGGCGGTGCGGGCGGCCCGGTGGGCGGCGGCACGGGGCCTGCGGGCTGTGGGGGCCGTGGTGGTGGACCCGGCCTCGGACCACGTGCTGGCCACCGCCCACGACTGCAGCAGCACCGCCAGCCCCCTCCTGCACGCCATCATGGTGTGCGTGGACCTCGTGGCGCGCGGCCAGGGCCGCGGCACCTACGACTTAGCGCCCTTCCCCGCCTGCTCCTTCGCTCCGGCCACCGCCCCCTACGGCGTCCGCGCAGGCGCCGTGCGCAAACTGGACACAAACGAGGACGGCCTCCCCTATGTGTGCACCGGCTACGACCTGTATGTGACCCGCGAGCCCTGCGCCATGTGCGCCATGGCCCTGGTGCACTCACGCATCCTGCGCGTCTTCTATGGCGCGCCCTCGCCCGACGGCGCCCTGGGCACCCGCTTCCGCATCCACGCGCGGCCGGACCTCAACCACCGCTTCCAGGTGTACCGCGGCGTGCTGGAGGAGCAGTGCCTCCTGCTGGACCCCGATACGTAGGCGCTGCCCTCCTGCCTCCGGACCTTCGTGCTCCCGGCGTGGGGCGCCTCTCCTCGACCTCCTTGGCGCAAGCCTTTCCGTGGATTTTAAGGACACACTGCCTCCAGCGGGGACCCCAGGGGCTGCCTTCCGTGTTGAGCTGCGGAGTGAGCTTTCCTGGACTCAGGCCTTGGCTCACCCCCACGCCGGCCTGTGGAGATCTCCACGGGTGCCCTCACTGCCTTTCTGTCCCCTCTGTCTCTCTGGCCAGGAAACAGCTCTGATGGGAAAATAAACAGCCTGAAACCAAGCGGGTGTCTGTTGACTGGTGTGTGCCTTGGTGGCCAGGTTCCCTGGTGGGGCGAGGTCTGTACAGGGCCGGGTGGCGGAGCGCAGGGGCTGCTGAGCCACGTGGTCAGAGGCCTCCACTGGTTCCTGGTAGCCAGGGCCCCCAGCTGCTGCCTCCTTGCCTGCTTCTGGAGTCCCGATGGTTCCGGGAGTGCCTGGGCCTGATGCGTGGACACCAGGTGTAGCCCACAGGCCACCGACCTGAAGGAGGGACCCTGCCATTTAGTGTCCCACACAAGTGGCAACAGGGGACCCGAAAGGGCTGATGCCAGCTGGTCACAGCACAGTGAGGACTGGAGCCGAGTTTGCAGAACGTGGAGCAGGACCTGTGTGTCCACCTGGCAGAGTCTGCCGATGACCAGGAGGGTGCCGCTCAACCCCCACACAGGCCTGCCCTGAGCCCCTAGCCCGCGGGGGAGGGCGTGCAGCAGGCAGGGCTCTGCGTGGGAAGCTGGGGCAGCCGACAGAATGCGTGGCTGACCAGGAGCCCTCCAGACCTGCAGTGGGGTACCTCGTGCCTGGGGCTGGGACCGAGGTGGGCTGGAGGGTCCCTGATGGGACCGGAGCCACAGTGTGGAGGGAGGAGGTGGGAGCTACAGGGGCGTGCCCAGTGATGGGGGCAGCGGCTGGTCCTCCTTGGTGTTTGGTGCTCAGGGCTCAGCTCTTTCCCCTGAGGGGCAGGAAGGCAGAAAGGAGGGAGTGAGAGGTGGGAGGCAGACAGAGGACAGAATGTCCTGTCCCAAGAGCCTGGGGCACCCCCCCCGCCCCGTGACACCTCCCCAGATGGGTTGTGTGCGGAGGCCTTAGTTCCTCCAAACCTTCTCACCTGCCTGTGCCCGCCAGGATCTGCTCCCTGCCCCCACCAGGATCTGCTCCCTGCCCCCTCGGGCCTGCTCACTGCCAGGATCTGGGATGGTTCCAACCCTGATGGGCTGTGATGCCCGACGGGCACTGGGTATTTCCATGCTGGCCTGGCCTACCTCCCACTGGCAGGTCCGCCACCAGGACCATGGAAGCAGCTAGATCACTCTGTCGTGCGTGGCTGGCAGGCTGGGGTCAGGCTGCTCTGGTGCGTGAGCTTGTGGGGTTCCCTTTCAGAAAGGCCATGGTGCCACTTGGATGTGATGGGGTCCTAGGCCCTGCAACGTTCACGGGGTGAAAACCGTAGCCCAGACAGGTGGTGTGACTGGCCTAAGGTCACACAGCAGTGAGCTGGCACCTGGTTCTGTTACTCGCTGGGAAGTCAGGCCTTGTAGCGCCGATCCCTTGTGGGCTGAAGCCGGGATTTGGGGCATGTGGGGGCCTAGGACTGCAGGGGAGGGGATCCTGGCTGGGGCAGTGGGTGGGAGGGCTGCAGCCAGCCCTTCCCCTTTTGCCAGCAAGGATGGTGCACACTTGAGGCGGGTGGAGGGAACCTGTGGGGCGACACATCGGGTCAGGTCAGGCCTGTGGCACCCGCGCAGCCCACTGCTGTGCCCAGACTACAGGGCACGATGGGGGGCTCTCCAGCCATGGTGGGTGGTTAACGCCCTGCTCAGGGCGACCCTGGGGTTCCCTGACTGTCATTGTTTTCTTCCAGGCGGCTGCAGGCTTCAGCCCGCGCCGGTCGGCGAGGAAGAGATGTCAGGTGAGTCCTGCCAGCCTGGGAGCCCCAGCAGTGCGGGCGGGAGGGTGACGTGGGCGGGAGGGTGACACCGGCAGTTCCCACAGCAGCCCTCGGTCCTGGCCGTGGCCATGCAGTGTCCTCCTGGCCCGCCTGGCTTCTGACTTCTCCGGCCCCACAGCTCAGCACAGCCGGGTTCTTGCCTCTCCTGGGGGTCGGGACAGGGCTACAGAGCCGCCTGTGTCGTCTACTCTGACGCCAGGAGGGGTGTGAGTGAAGCCAGGTGGGCCTCAGCATGGGCACTCATCCCTGCCTTCTTCCGGAGTCTCTGCTGCTTCTGGGCCGGGCAGTTCACCCCGTAGGCTTCTGCGCTGCCGTGCACTCGCCCTGGATGCCCTGCCCCGCAGAATTCACCGCACTCCCTTCCCCACCTCAGGACCCGAAGCACCACCTGCCGGTGCCCGCGCTGGCACGGCTGCCCTTTCCTCCCAGCACCCGCTGTCGTCTTGGTGCCTGCGGGTCTCTCACCCGCGCATGTACTGTCAGCTCTCGCTGTGCGTGGAGCCCCTGAGGATGGGCCTCCTGCCGTCTGGCTGGAGTGGATGCTCAGGGATGCTTCTGCAGGCAGTGCTGGCTCAACAGAAGCTCCCAGGGGTCTCCCAGGCCATGCGGAGTCCCCCAGAGGCCATGTGTTCCCATCCGGACCCCTGGAACCCATGATTGGGAGCTCATTTGGGAACATGGCCTTTGTAGATGTGCTGGAGTTAAGATGAAGTAATGGGCCAGGCGCAGTAGCTCACGCCTGTAATCCCAACACTTTGGGAGGCCGAGGCGAGCAGATCAAGAGGTC